AGTAATATAAAGAGACTTAAGCATTGGGCAGGTAGTTGAAAGACACTATATAAAATTTCTTCCAGCTCTTCAGTCTATAGGACTATGAAGGTCAGGGCTAAGAGCTTGGGTCTGAAGCACTGAAAGTTGAGGATTCTCAACGTTCACAGCAGCTAGATTCACTTACTTTGCCCAAGGGCATCTTGAAGCCAGAATTTGCATTCGCACCTAAATATCCTTCCTTCAGATATCACTGTAAGCATCACTTCCTCCAGGATGTTTCCCACTGCAGCCCTAACACCACGTCACCCATCTTTCCTCAACCATGCCACTTCTCACACTACCGTGATTTGCCTGTTTCATCATCACCCTACCCCTGTATTAGTTTCCTAGGGCTACAGTAATAAATTATAACAAATGGAATGGATTAAAGCAATATCAAAATACTGTCTCACCAATATGAAGGTTAGATGTCTGAAATCAAGATGTGGGCAGGGGCACGCTGTCTCTGAAGCTTCCTAGGGAAGAATCTCTCCTCACCTCTTCCTAATGTCAATGATCACTGGCTGCTGGCCATCCTCAGCATTCCATGGCTTGAGTTGGTGTCGTTCCCACTTCTGTCTCTGTCGTCACATGACCTTCTGCCCCTCTGTATTCTGTGCCCTTCTCTTCTTCTTATAGGGAAGCAGTCATACAGATTTAGGAACCATCTCAATTCAGTGTGACCTCATCTTAATTTAACTAATTATGTCATCAAAGGTCTTATTTCCAAATAAGGTTACATTCAGAGGTACCAAAGATTAAGACTTCAATCTATCTTTTAGTTGGACATAACCTAACCTGCAACATCCCCCAACCTCCCACATTCACTAGGCTCTGAGTTCTTTCAGGACAGCATCTCCATTCCTCATATTTTTATTACATATATTACAAATCACATTCTGTTCTGAGAAATAAGGAAAAGTCACAGTCAAGGTTCCTACACCTCATGGAGCTTTTATACTATGTGGAGCCCCACAATAAAAACTGGCCATTCGGAGTTGAAGCCAAATGCCAAGTGTATACATAACATGTCACATACACATACATGCATTTATATAATTACTTCATATATATTTGTGGAAGAAGTATTAACACAATAAGTAAAACACTTTTGGCACATATACCAGAATCTAAAAGTTTGGTTTCTCTCTGTCCCTTGTAAAACTTTTCTACACTATTTGAATTCTTACTCTCAGTTGACTCCCCCAACCTAGCTTTTCAAGTAATACCTCTGAGCAACAGAAAATAAAGCTTGTAAAATACATTCCTAGTATTTTAATTAATTTCAAACTTGCACCTAAAGTAGAAAACACTTGCACTCTGCTTCCCTTCCAGGGCAGTGTCAGTTCCTCCCAGCCTCCATTTGTCCAGATGCCAGGTGAGTGCTTTTAATTCAATAAGCAACTAATTCCTTTCTGAGTTCAAACAGTATTTGCGCTTCGTTGTTGTTGTTGTTGTTGTTGTTGTTGCTGTTTTTAACTGCCTTACATCTTTAGCAACTTTGCTTCTTTAAAATGAGTTTTTTACATACTTGTCTCGTCATCCTTGCCACTTTCTGAGGCAATCCTGGAAGTCTTCTTTCATGTCTTTAGTTGCACTGTCATGGCTGCCTCAGTGTCCTGAATTGATTCAAAATGTTTACCTTTCATGGTCACATTGACTTTGGAGAACAGTCAGAAGTCTCACAGTGCCAGATCCAATGAATAGGTGAACAAGGAGACACCACAATGTTTTCACGAGCCTCCCTTTCTGTTGGGTGGCACCCAGCAGCAGAATTCACTGCATTTTCCCCACATCTCATGAAGATATGCAGGAGGAAAGACCAGAGCTGTTTCAGAAAGTGGCAAGAAAGATAAATGTATTTAAAGTAAGGGTGAGTATTTTGAGGGAGATTAATGACAATGTGTTTTTATTGTAAAAATTTGTTTAATTTTAAAAAATAAAATAAATTGTCTTAAATTTTAAAAATCAGTAAATATAGACCTCATTCAGTCATTCCTGAACTTAGAACTCATTGTGTTTCAAAGGGAACCTTTTTATCCTCTGCCTGGAAAGGTTTGTGAGCAAAGGCAATAGCATTTACAGGTTTTTTTAGTATATATTTGCAACACGTAATAAGTATATTCATTATGGGGATTTAATGCAAATAGATATTACATCTTGATCCTTTTAATTTCCTCTTCCACTTGCCTCCCTTCCATTTCTCCCCATCCCCAGACTCCCTTCCCATATCCATAAAGTCTATCTCCTTGTTTCCTATCATCTGTCTCTTATTTTGCTCTTTAGGTTGTTTATACTTCGGGTTTTTCATATAAGAGAAACCATGTAATACTCAACCTTCTGTATTTGATTAATTTTACTTAGCATTATGGACTCAAAGTACACCCATTTTTCTACAAATTACTCAAAGTTATCCTTCTTTATGGCTAAGTAGTACTCTATTCTGTATATATACACCACATTTTCTTTATCCATTCAGTTTTAAAATGTCCAAAGTTCTGACAACAACATCTGACAGAAGATGTACTTGCTCTAGACAGATGGAGAAAGAGACCTAGAGGGAAGGGGCATGTTCTACCATACGTTGGATGCTCTCTGTACATCAGGCACTTAGTTTGGAATGTTCCATTCATTTCAATACATATGATCAAAATACGATGTGTGTTTAAATAAAAAAATTATTATACTAAAAGACACATTGCCATTGATTCCCTTTAAAATACTCCCCCTCACTTTGAAGACCTTATCCCATCATTCTTGCCAGTTTCTGAAGCAGTTCTGGAAGTTCTCTCTTATGAGAGTCTTTTACAAAGTTTGATCAAAAATATGGTGAATGCTACTGTTGTGCACCACCCAACGGTAAATAAAATAATTATCATGTGTCCTCATCAACTTATTCACTGAATCTTGCACCATGCAACTTCTGACTCTTCCCCAAAGCCAAAATGACCATGAAAGGTAAATATTTTGAATAAGTTCAGGACACTGAAGCCCCAACAACAATGCAATTAAAGACTTTCACAAAAGAAGACTTCCAGAACTGGTTAAGAAAGTGGCAAGGATGATGAGATTAGAGTGTTTTAAGTGAGAAGGAGTATTTTGAGGGGGGTTAGTGGTAATGTGTCATTTATTGTAATAACATTTTTTAAATCCAAATATTCACTGTATTTTTGATCCTATCACATATGTCCCACTAAATGCTCCTATGGGGGTGGAAACGGGGGACTCTTAATAAGAGTGTTGGGTACACACACACACACACAAATCTCTACCAGATATCAAATTTAAAAGTCCCATGGCCCCTCTCAATAGTTTAGTACCTTAAGAGATGGAAAAGGGAGAGGAAGAATAACCACAGAGTATACCAAGTACAGTATATGAGTGTTTCTATATTCTGTTTCCCAGTAATATTTATTGTCATTGGAACTTGTTTGCATCTGCTCTTTTCTATGAAGGAAGTTTCTGCAGTTTTTCTTTTCATTTAGAATTATCCTTTCTCTTTTTCAGGAGAAAAAAAATATGCTTAGAGAGCAAAGAGGGGTTTTTTTTCTCCATGATTGTTTTTATTTAAAAAGTGGAAATACCAACATGACAGCCTGTAAGCCTTTTTTGCATATTCTTCATTCTGTTCTCAGCCTTAACCACGCCTGTGGATGTGAAATCATGACATGAAGCAGAACCTGATTTATTGTTATTAATTACATTTGGACATATTTTTTCCCCCAGAGAAGTTGTTTATTATTAGAATTCTAAACACAGCCTTCAAATGCATGAGCCAATTAAAAGTTTGGGGCCTAGAGTTTAAGATGAAAATGTAGTGAATTTCAAAAGGAAATCTGGTTGCTTCTTCTAAGTGAATGAATTTCCATGTAATTGTTGAACAGAATGTTGTATTACTTTGCTTACAGAAAATGTGCAAGACACAAACTCTGCCACCAGGGAGTTTGCAAGTTAGTTGGAAAGACAGCTGTAATGGGAGAAAGAATAGAGCATACTAAAGTGTCATATCACGTGGCTGAGGCCAAAGTTTTGAGTTTGTCTTCCTCCGAAGGAGTAGCAAGTGAGGGTGGCCAGGGACAAAGCTCGGAAGTCCTCCTCTCTCTATGTTAGAGGGAGGTAAAGAAGGAAAGCGCTTGTATTTTCTTCCCAGTTCAGCCCTTTGTGACCTCAGTGATCCATTGGTCTTAGCAGTCACCAGCTGGAATGCGAAGCCGTCAGTGACGCAGACCTTGCCTCTGTGCTCCCAAGCACGTTCTAAGGATCATGTGTTGCCTACTAAGCTGAGCCACGGGGTCAAAAAGTGCTCAGCAAACACATCTCTTTTCTCCTAGAATCCACCCAGGGAAATTTTCTGTACCAGGGACTCTTCCTAAAGTTGCAGTGCCCGAGTGAGCTCACGGGAGAATTCGATATGACCACATGAGGGCAGCAAATAACACCAGACTCGGCAAAGCCGAAAAACATTTTTTGCGGTCCTCTAAATCTGGCTTCTGCGCAGCCATATTATCCCAAAGCAGGGCGTTTACAGATGTGTGCGAGACACTGTGTTATAGGCCAGTGTGCAAAAAATTTAGAATACTCCGATTTGAGGTGGGGTTATGTCTATTACCTTACCCAGAGACGCGGTATCTCAGGCCAAAAGCAGCCTCTTGTACACAGCCCTGTGTCTTATGGAGACATACATAGCTCAGGAGCTGTGAAAAGACTCTTATCCGATAAAACGTCAGTGCCCAGGGATTCTCTGACTTAGCTCTGTAAGCCCAGCTCCTCCCTACCATAGTGTTCAGAGCCTGGAAGACACACGGTAGGTACGTCGCGGGGGCGAATGGTGGACAGTTACTGTATTGCCTTAGATGAACTCATCCCCGAAACAGAGTGAACTTTAAACATCTGAGGCTGGAAGAGTTCTACATGTGACACATGTATTTATTTCGCCCTTTTCAAGACATTTGTCTATTACGTGTTAACGTGGGTGTTAGGCCCGTGCTAGCAACATTTCACACTACAGAGACCGACGGCACCAGAGATGCCTTACCTTCCTGGGGAGGGTTCTGACCTTTGTTTTTCATTTGGCAACAGGATCACCGGGCCAGTCAGGTTACTATGGTGTCAGGAGATCTTTCTTGTCTGACTCAGACTTCCACAACAGTAAACCGTTTTCCAGTGACGCCTACACCCCCAGCGTGGTGAAGCCCTTCGCCTGCGAGCCGGCCGCAGCGCAGGGCCCCGCGGCGCTGCTGGAGCCCGTCCTGGCCGAGCCCTACGCGGAGTCCCGCGCGCCCGCGCTCGCCCCCGGCCCCTCAGCGCTGTTCGGTGCCGCGCCTCTGCCGCCGCTCCTGCCGCCGCCCTTCCCCGGGGACCCGGCTCACTTCGTGCTTGTGAGTATGCGCCTCCCGCGTGCGGGGAGTAACAGAAGCTCCTCTCCGGGCTCCGTGGATCTAGAACTGCAGTGCCTTCTACTACAAAGGAATGAATCTCTAACGGTGGAATGTTAGACAAAAGGGGTGTGAGCGGGCATTAACGTCCAGCACCTACTCTAGGCCAGGAACTTTTCTGTGCCTCTGTTCCTTTAGCACTTGCAATAACAGGAAATATTTAAGAAAGCCCCATTTTATACATGGAAAAAGTGAGGTGCCCGGAGTTGAGGGTAGTGGGTGACACAACCATGAATGAACCCAGCCCACCCGAGAGAGGTAGGCTTGAGAAGGCTGCTCCAGGCTTTCTTCTCCACTCACTGAAGACAGGGTGACATCCCCAGCCCAGCAAAAGCTCACCATGTAGTCAGAGGCCTACTCCTTCCCAAGGGACACGTGCCAACTCTCCCGGGCGGCGCAAAGGGTATTCTAGACCTGAGCAACATGAGGTCCAAAAAGAATGCAAGATGGGGCATTGTTAACAGTAAAGTGTCAGGTAGATGTCCATTTTATTCTTGTCACATCTCATTCTTCTAATGTTTTTGGGGAAAGAATCTGACTGTATACAGTATAGGGAATCTCGTTCTAAAGTAGAAAGGAACCAAACTTCCCGGGTGGTGTCAGGCTCCAGAGGGTAAAGCCACCTCGTATGGCACCTCAGCTTCAGAGGGAGGGCCCCGCGTCTGTATCTGTATCTGCAGAGTATTTGCTAATGAATAATCTCAGTGGCCTCTCCCTTCTTTAGAGGGATTCGTGGGAGCAGACAGTGCCTGATGGGTTCAGCCAGCCAGACTCCGTGCCCGCCGAAGCTCTGCAGACTCTGTCGCCTAGCACCAGCTGCCTCTCCCCACTTGAGTCCGCCAGCACCAGCCAGCACAGGAGCGCGGGCTGGGGGGCCTCCCTGGCTGGAACTCAGCCCTACTCCCTGCACACTCTGGAGGACCTGCACCACACACCAGGGTACCCTACCCCGCCACCATACCCCTTCGCCCCTTTCATGACCATGTCAAACGACCTCCTGCCTAAAGGCTTGCCTCTCTCCCCAGATGAGGGGACAGACACCTCTTCCCTTCACGATCCTTCACCTTGGACAAAAGAAGATGGGAGTATGGCCTGGGGGTCCTATGAATGCCGCAGAGCTTACTGAGGGGGGGACCAAAGAACTTCTGTGCTTTTCTTTAAATTGGGCTCTGTATTCCACAGATTGTTTTGGGTGTGCCTGCTCATCCCGAACTGGATTTTTAGAATAAGCCATACTGTCACCATTTGTTAATGGACAGTGGCATTTATTTGTAATTCTCCCCACTGTAACCCTACTGAAATTTAATTGTTCATTAAATGTATTATGGACCAGGTTCTAGTGAGACAGGTTACAGTGAGGTCAGTTTAAAACTGTAGTAACATTACACTCTGAATCTTCTGCTGTCCTTGAAGTATCATTTTTGGCTCCAATTTTTTTTTCTTAAATTACATTAAAAAGTTTTTGCATATCATAAAACATAATGATTTTCCTGCCTGGTTTTTCTTAGTTACCGACTATCTGTATTCTTTAGTAAAAGAGAATGGATAGGCTGTAATATAGGTTGGAACATATAAAATAAAACTCATGCCATGTAACTCTAAAAAGTGAAGTGTTGTATACATTTGCCTCATTATTGGAACATGTAAAGGCCTAGTAAAACAAAATATAGCACCATATTTATATATATATATGCTTTATTGGCAGCAAAACAATTTGAGGTCAAGAGACTATGGTTTTGTAAGTAGTGTTAATTAGACACAGGATGTCCAAAAATTAGTCCATTCTTCCAAAAGACCAAAACTTTTTTCTTTGATCAGTGAGTCCCTTAATTAAAGTATAACTTGTCTCTCTACAGTTGTCTGAGTAGATGAGTAAAAGGGACATTCAGTGCTTAAATAAGAATCCATACATATTAAAGAAAAAATATCGAAAGTAGTACTAAGCCGTTAGCAAGAAACACTACAGAACATCAAGAAGCAAAGAGTTTTAGAGAAGTATGTATTGTCATGTGTGAGTCAGTAGCATTGCACGTAGCATGTCCTGACTATCTGAAGGAAGGCGTTCTTGGTGGCTTATTGGTCAGAGATGTACAGCTCCTACTGTGTAAAAAATGAAGAAACAGACATCTGAACATTAACCTGTCTTGTGTAAGTTTAATTGGTGTGAGTTCCTCTGCCAATTCCAAAGTAATCCCCACCAAGCAGTGCACCTGTCCACAGGCCACACCCATCATAAATGCCTTGCACACAGTTTGACTTTGCAAATACATGAGTTGAGGCCCACAGATTACACCTCCACCCTTCTTCCTATCTTCCTTTCTTTACTTCCTTCTCTTATCTTTCTGATCCCTCTGGTCCCTCCTAACCATCTTCTGGAGGCCAAGACTCATTTTCACTCAAATGCCCAAAGTTCTTAAATACAATCTCCATCATATCTTCTGACAGTGTCTCATACTCTATACCAGCTAAGTAGGAGTCCAGAAATTCAAATAAAAGGATTAATTCACACTTACAAGTGAATGGTTGACATTTCTTCTTTTCCAAGGCCTTCAAGGGTATTTTCTGGTTCAGCTGACATACTCCTAACTTAGGGAACGCCAGAAGAAATGCTTGGTTAAGGAGTCATCCTTTGTCTCATTCTTCAAAGCATCCTCCTGGGACAGTATTCCTAGAGGCCAGATCAAGAATGAGCTTTCCTGGCTTCTGGATGGCATTCTCCCACCTCCCCTCCCCAACTTCTTCCCTGCCACCAGCTCCTTTTTGGTAGGGTGATATGTATTGTTTTCTTTTTCTTAAGTTTCAGTTTTAATTGCAATGCAATAATTCTATATATTTATAAGGGTACAGTTTGATGTTTCAATACATACATACATTATATAATGATCAAATCAGGGTAATTAGCATATCAATCACAGTAAGCATTTATCTTAGTTTTTTTGAAATATCTGATATATTATTGATCATAGTCACCCTACTGTGTAAGAGCACACCAGAATTTATTCCTCCTGACTGTAACTTTATACCTGTTGATCAATTTCTCCCCACTCCCCTGCTCCATACCCTCTTCAGCCTTTAGTAATCATTATTCTACTCTCTATTCCATGAGAATTACATTTTAGATTCAACACATGAATAAGATTGTGTGGTATTTGTCTTTCTGCAGCTAGGTGTGGGATATTTCACTTAACATGTCTTCCAGGTTCCTACATGTTGCTGCAAATGACAAGATTTTATCTTTTTATGGTTAAGTAGTATTATGCTATATCTATGTACCACATTTTCTTTATCCATTCACCTGTTGATGAACACTTCAGTTGAATCCACATCTTGAATTTGTGAATAGTGTTACAATAAATATCCAAGCATAGATATCTCTTCCACAGTATAGAGGCTCCTCAGAAAAATTAGAAACAGGCCCACCATATAACCCAGCAACCCCACTACTGTATAAATACCCAAAGGAAATGAAAACAAGCCTGAACTTTATTCTGCTTAATATTTGCTCTGCAGTGAAAGGTGGCAACATCAATTGTGGAAGAGAAACTTCCTCTTTCTTAATTCCCTGTGACTTGGGACCTCAGCCTTAGTTCCCAATATCTTTGGAAGAGCTATCCCTCACCAACAATTACTTATACCCAGGCAACTGGCCCCCACGTTGAAAAGAAAAGATTTGGCCCTCTCTGCAGAGTTAAGGATTTTCCTGAATGTCTTAGAGCCACTTTTCTAGATTGGTTGTGTAAAATTTACAGTAACTATAGTCGTTTATACTCATCATCTGTTACCAAGCATATCCGACACAATAATATTTGTGTAAATAATATACGTGTCCATATAACTTTAACTTATGTTTGACTATAACACTAAATATAACACTAAATAACACTAAATACTCATATCACTTACTTTGTCATTATCTGCTCATGTATTGTGTTCACTCATCTCTTGACAACCTGAAGATGCATTTGTTCTCAAATAGAGCTCATTGATCAGATCATAGAGCTGAGGAAAATACAGTGAGTGCAACAATCTCTACATTCTTTTTAAAGCATCTACTGTAATCCCCTTCTTAGTGTTTGACAAAATTAACTTATTAAAAAAAGGGAGACATACAGAGCTCCATATGCCATCTAATATCCTGTTCAGTTATCTAGACTAAAATGAGTTGGAGGGAGCAAAAGTAATGCTAACAAATTCCAAATGGTAAATGATTTTTTAGAATTGTTTAGCTTGACAATACATTTCTATATTTCATATTTTAAAGCAAAAACAAGCTACAATATTATGACAGGGATATTAGTAATATTTCTCTACCTTATTTCCCATTCAAGTGCTCCCACTTTTCTACTACGTGTGGGGACTGATCATATCCTTTCATGTGGAATACCAGCATATGAAAAACTGCATATTTTTATCTCTCTCTCCTTTCTTAAACTTACTCTTTTCTGACCTCAGCTATCCAAGGAGAGCCAGAAAAATTTACAGAGCTCAAATTCAAAACTCCATCCCTTTTGACCTGTAGGAATACAAGATATATTTAAGACTTAAAGCAACCAGAGATGATGTCAAGTTCAAACTACTTAAGAAAGATGACTAGATGACAATATAAAAAAGAAGTCAAAGGTGAAATTTTCCCGTGCAAAACTTCAATGTAGACAATCATCTCATGAATCACTGAAACAGATACCGCATGTAGTTGAAAGTGTTTTATTTCATTTACAATGTTATTCAAACCCCCAAGAAAAAGAGATGAAAACCACATCTTTACCTTGTTTATTTAATAAATACTTTTAAATGATCATTTTGATTTGCCACAGCTCCATTAATAATACAATATTATTGTACTATTGTGGTAGAGGAAGAAGACTGAAGTGCTCTTAAAGAAGATCCACAAAGGATTTTCAACAGCAAGATACATATTTATGTGTAGATATGTACATACATACACAGAGTAAAAAGTACTTGTGATCCATCTTTCAATATGTAAATCTGAATAATACAGTCATAAGGAATAAAACATCAGTTACTTTCAAGTTACCACAATAACAATTGATGTCCAAGGATTAAGTCAAATAATGATCTCCTTTTTGAAGGTTTAATCATTGGGTTCTGTCTAAAGTATCCGCTCTATACAACACAACACTAAATTAGTGATCTTATCATCTTCACTAACCAATGACTCTAGACAGGTTAAGTCCAAAATCACATACTCTATATAAAGAACTCATGTCTAGATAAAAGACTCAAAAAAAAGATCATGAATATCTCACCCCTGTGTCTGGAGCACCTGTGTCTGTAGCACCTGGCTCAGGCCCCAACATATGGTAGATGTTTAGTAAATCTTTGTTAAACTAAAACTATACCACAAAGATGCAAAACTATTTACTCTGTGGATGACAGCTTTCTGTAACCAGTATATAAGAAAATTCTTACCCCCTTTAGTACTTAATATTAGCTATACTCTGCAAATTCAGATACATGGATACTGGGCTGTAATGCTCACATATTTAAGATGATTGATTCAGTACTGTTTTCAAATGTCTTTAAGAAGGAACATTATAGAACCTTTGAAGTAGCACAGAAAAAAGTTGGTATATTTGTTTAGTATCTGTATGTACTATAATATATTGCTAAGAAGCCTTTTAAATAAAAGTTTTTCTGTTTGGTATTTCTCTTGTGTGATTAAAACACATATGATGAATAAACCAGGAACTAAAAATCTACTAGGGTCAAGCTAAATAAATAATAAAATCTTACATAGTTATTTGCAGATGATGACACCATGTTATATTTGATATTTAATATAGAAGTATCTAACCATAACCTCTAATAAATAAGAAGTATATGTTTGTAACATACAATATCAGTGTCAGTACATTACAAGAAAGAAGAAAAAGAAATGTTACAGGTTCCAAAAGGAAAAACATGTGGACCAAACAAATAATATCTAGGAATAAGCTTTTATGCATTGGGAAAATTAATACATGTTTCTGCTAACTTTTCCCCTAACCAAATATTCTTTGAGTGGAATAGTCCAACAGTTTTAATGTTTAATAAATTAACTTAGTCATAAATGAAAGATCATTCAACCATTTTATTTCTTCACCTGATAAGAACCGGTAATATATTCATAGGTTTTCACCATGAATTTTTGTGTGGCACTGGAGATTAAACCCAGGGAGCACCAAACTACATCTGTAACCTTTTTTCGTATAATTTTGAGACAGAGACTGGCTAAGTTGCCCAGGCTACCCTTGAACTCTGGATCCTACTGCCCCAGTCTCTTGAGTAGCTGACATTACAAGCATGCACCATTGCATTTAGCATCATATTCTTTACATGATTTTAAGTCTTAAATATCACATAATAAAAACGTTTTAAGTAAAAGACAAACATTTAAGAAGTGAATGACAGACAGGCATGGTAGCACACACCTGTAATCCCAGCTCTTGGGAAGCTGAGGCAGGAGGATCACCTTGGGCTTGGGCTTGGGCTACACAGTGAGTTCAAGGCCAACTTGAACTACATAGCAAGATTCTGTTTCAAAAAAATAAAAACAACAGAATAAATAAACAAACAAAAAGAAATGAATGACAGTATTTTTCTTGTTATCAAATGCTTGTTCCTCATGGAAACTTCATAAGAAAAAGTTAAAACTTTGACTTATATTTCATGGGAAGATACCAATTCAGCACAAATTGTGAAATAATTTTCATCTAATAGTCTCCCTGATTGTTTTTATATGGACCAAATATTCATTCCAGAGCCCAGTAAGTGCTTGCTTCCTCCATGTATTCAACTTTTTGGAATTTGATATTTCCCACAAGGTTTGGTAACAGTGTCTCAAGGTTAAGGTGACAAAAGAACTTTGTATTAATAAAAAGAATTTAGAGCTATAGTCAAATTTGGAGGGAATATGCTACCCCTTTTCTTTATACTTGATGTCTTTCAGTATGTGTCTAGGTTTAATTAAAAACCTCCAACTTTGGGGGAGAAACATAATACCCTACAGTGTCATTTGCATGCCAAAGACTGCCAAAATCTTTTCAATTAAAATACTCAGTTTAAAACTCTAAACACAAATTTGTCCTATTCATTCTGGATGCCACTGAGTGACTTTAATAAAGTTAACAACAAACTAAAGGATTTCTGAACTCAGTGGCGAGGGTAATCACAAATATAAAAAACTGACTTATAAAGAAGTAGAGAAACTGTGGGTGGTGACCTCAAGAAGAGGCAGCTTGGGTGGAGGGTGGACATGATATCTTCTTCAGACCAGCACTGGACTGGGTCAGAGCAGATAATCAGCATATTATGATTGAATGAAAGAATGAATTAACTAATGAATGAACTAAATAAACCCATAACAGAAGAGCAGTAGCATGGAAGTTCCAGAACAGAGTGTTTGATAGTAAAAACAAGGACTTCCTTATCTTTGCATTCCTTGTACTTCATACCATGCCTGATACCCAGGTGGTGTTTAATTAATACCTAACTGGGTTGTGGCTCAGTCACTGATCATAATATTATTCCAGTAATGTGGAGCTCCAGTGGCACAATCAATTAGTGTATGGTACATATACAATATGTAACCATCTGCCTTATAAATACTGAGCTCCCATTTCCTCTACACACATTCTGCTATGAGCCAGGATTTCAGCCAAATGGTGAAGAGGCTAGACAGCCTCCAGTAGAGGAGTTGGGAAAAGACCCTAAGTCCCTCTCAGCACTTCAAAGATACCTCCCAACACCCAATATCCAAACCCTACATTATATTTTCTTTTTTAAAATTAATTTTATCGATACATTTTAGGTATACAATATAATGACATTCATCATTGAAATTTGCACCTTTACATAATCTCTCTTGGTTCTTATTTTTTCCCCATTTCCCTGCCTCCCTTCAACCCCTCCATCCCTCCCTATTTACAAAGACTTTGTTTCCGTTTTTTCATTTTCTCATATTAATTCCATTCCCTTCTTTCCTTTTCCCTAACCCTCCCACTTCCCCTTCCCCTTTGCCCCTTTACATTATATTTTCAAGTAGATGAATCTGTTACAATGGTTTCAATATCATAGTATTTTTTCTCTTTTTTTTTTTTTTTTTTTACTAAAACCCCACAGGGATTATCATGACTTCGGAGGAGTCCCCTTAGCAGTGACAGTGTCCCCAGTCTGAGAGCAGCACAAATGTAACCAGCACAGTTGACAGCTTTTCCTCACCTCCAGACAGCCTCGTCTTCAGGGTTCTAGTATTTCCATAAAACTCACAAGTCAGTATGTTGCACTGTCTTGGGCTCCTTGTGCACACTGACTGTAAAACTGATGGCACAATGCAATACTCCCACAGGTACAACACTGAGACATATGTTTGTATATCTTAACAGTGATATTTTTTCAACACCATTCAAAACTCTTTAGTGAGTCATTAAATTAAAATGATGACTCCCAGCCAACATATGCTTCTCATAAATGTAATGAGATAGGAAAGATTGAATATAATAGAAAGTATCAGAATGTCTCACATACATAGGTATACATTATTTCATGAAGAGTTTGTGTTAGAAATGTAGATATTATTATAGTTACATGTAAACAATTTCTTATTGTGAATTGAAGTCTTAAAAGTTTACTAATAAAAGATCAGAAACAACAATAGTTAGAGCAAGGACTTCTGGAGTTAGAGTTACTAAAGTCTGAATATCAATTCTTCTATTTATGTGCTCAATAATCTTTCTGAGCTGCTTATCCCTCTTGTTTGCTCATACATAGACAACACAGGCCTGATATCCAACAAACAATGCAAGGTGATTTTAAAGAGTGTCTTATGAGGATCATACAATTTTGTGGGCATCTAGGGTCTCAGGGTAGAAATGGCAGGTTGCCTCAGTGACATCACACATTTGGATTTGTAGGATTCACAGATCCATTCAGAAAGTATTGTCCCTTACCTCCACAAGCATGGCATTTGGCCCTTTAATGTTCCTGTTGGAGTTGTACAGTGACACACACAACAGGAACCAAATGCCTGAATGTTGGGCTAACAACCTGGTCAGAAAATGGGGGAGAAATCTAGTTTTCTGAAGTTACTGGGCAGCAACAGGACTGAGATGTCCATCACAGCAACAGCAGCAAACACAGAAGTTCCAGGATTGCTGCTGTGGTTCAGGCAGAGGCTTCTGGAGGAAGGAACAGAATTCTTTGCTGTCCCTACACACCCCCTGGCTTCCAAGAAGTATGCTCTTGCATACTTCACCCATGCCTCCCTTCTCCACCAAGCACCCAATCACCGGCACCTACTTCCATGATGCTGCCAAGAAGTGCAATGCCCTCCTGCCATCTCTTTTCAGCTCCACATGGAAGGAAGGACAAGGAAGGAGATTAAGCCTGAAGGACTTGAGAAGGCACCCAGGACGGGGAGGAGAATAGAGGTATGTAGGGAGCCAAGGAGAAAAATGGCAAGCAGAAAAGAAATGGAGGAAAGAAGTGACAGGTAGAGAAACAAAGAAAAATAAACAAGGGGGGGTGACAGGTTTTTTAAAAAGCAAACCAAATATAAAGCACAAAAACAAAAAGAAAGAGGGAAAAAGAGGTAAGCAACAGAAAATGCTACAAGGACAAGAGACATCCCTAATTCCAAGCAGTGCCCATTGCCCTTCTCAGACCTGGTCCTCAGACCTGGCTTCTGCCAGGGAATTCCATGGCACAGGCCTGGGGCCTTTGGGGAAATAGGCTCCACAAACCGGAAAAATCCCAGCAAGGCTGGGGACAAATACACCTCATCCTGCCCGCCACAGCCAGGTGCTACCTCAGGTGTCCCCATCCCTGATCCTTTCCCCCAGATATGTGGCCTCGGCTTCCTTGTCATTCCTATCAATCACAGTCTTGTCACTTGTCATTCTTAGAGACATACTTTATCTGAGCTCCATATGTTGCACCCTGCATCTGACATATTTGAGGGCATTTAGATATTTTTCAGGTTCAAGCTTTTTTTTCTTTTTACATTTCAGAGAACTCAAGGATTAAAACACAGAGGCCTCTAATCATCACCTGGTCTGGCATCCTAGGAACATTCTGGTTATTTGCAAAAGGAACCTCACCCTGCCTCTCTCTCTGTCTTCCAGTGCTGCTCCCTCCTCCTAGAAGTTAACAAAGGATTTGGCCTGTACTTGTTTCCTGTCTGGATTTCTTTTGCCTCTTCCATCATCCAAATCACAGGCAAGAGGTACAGTCAGTGCTTGGAAAAGATGAACCAATGCAGTTCCAAGTCATTTGTAAGGGGCTCAGGCCTGGACCAAAGGGGCAGTCTGACCTCAAACAACCCCAAAATAAGAAGCCCTCGGAACAGATCCATGTCCTTTCAGCTAAAATGAGCAGGAGCCAGGCCTGTTTCAGTGTTCTAACACATAGTACTACAGGGGTGGCTGGAAGGAGAAAGATGAGAGAAGAGAGAACTTCACAGTGCAGTGAGGAAACACCAGCCTCAGAAATTATGTGGTAGGTGAGGTAGCAGGCATCTCCTACTCCATGGGGAGGAGCAAAGGGTCTTAGTGGCCAGGCATTCAGGGCTGAGGCCCCAGTGTTTAGGGCCCAGGCAAAGAACAGAATGAAAAGGGGAGGGAAGCCAGCATGTGGCCAGGCGGAGCCAGAAGGACAAGAAGTGCGAGGATAAGGCCTCTGCTGTCCTCTGGCCTGAAATCTGGGCCCAGGGTGATCCCTTCCTGTGCCACACCCCCTGGGTGCCATGTTCACTCACCAAAACCTGAGATTTCCCCTTAAAATGGAGGTTGGATGTGTGGGAACAAGTCCAGCTGGCCAGCCTGGCTCAGATGGTGATGGGGGTGATCCTAAGACACTTTGGGCTTCTGAGCTGTCTTTGAGGCAGAAATATAGAGCATCTTTGAGGACACCTGCTCTGACTGTGGGAAAGTGAACAAAATGCTCAAAATACAAGAAAAGCAAGGGTCAGGACCCAAAGGAGCCTCACTCCCTGTTTCTCTGGACTCTCTGTGTGGTGCCTGTATTCAGGATTTCTGCAGAAGATAGTCCATTTTGTTAAGCCTTTGAATATTCAAATTGAAAGTATCGCGCAATCATTGATTGTCAAATCATGGGTTTCTAGAGGTTTTAAATACTTGGCATGAGGGGGAAAAAACTCAAACCTATACCCAAAGGTATAAAACATTAATTCTGTGTATCTCCTGCTCCAGGGACCTAGGTGCAGCTGGATGCTTCGTGAAACTTTAAAAATGTCGCATCTCTGCCTTTCTCCCTGCACAGGATCCTCCCCAGGCGCTGAGTCCCTGCAGCTGCAGCATCCAGGCTCTGACCCAGCTCCTGCAGACCACGATGTCCGGTAACTCGGCTCCTTCTCCGGGGGTGGGTCATGTGGGCCAGGGGCATTTCGATCTGGGTGTGTTTTCACAGTTTTTCCTGAATGCAACAGAGAGACACAAAGTCAGGGCACGAAAGAAAGGGCCGGGCCGGGATCCGGGGCCACTGGCCGAGCGGCCGCTCCCACTTGGCGCCTGCTCCCCAGGGCAGGCAGAGGCGCAGAGGCCCAGAGGCCGACTTGGCCGCTCCGGACAGCCGCGTACCCGGGCCCATGCCCACCCGCCCTCTTTTCCACTGTCGCGTCCCGGGACTTCGCGGCGCGGACCTTGCGCGGCCAGAAGCGGCGGCGGGGGGAGCTAGAGGCTCTCGGTGAGCAGGGAGCATCGGCGGGGCAGAGCTGAGCTGTGCTGGTCTCTGTGCGGACCCCAAAGCGCGTCCGCCGCCCGCAGAGCCCAGAGCCGAGCGAGGAAGCGGGGTGGGAGGGAGAGAAAGGGCTGCTGCACGGAGACCGCACGGCGTCCTGAACCTGAGGGCCGGGTATGGGATCCCCTGGGTCTGGGTGAAGAACAGCACAACCTCCCTTCCTGGAAAGACTCTCAGCCCCTGGAATCTGGCCCGCGAGTAGGGGGCTCCCTCCTGTGCAGCTGCCTTCCCCGCAGTGACCAGGCGAGGCGCTGGCGACCTGGCACTGTTGCCCGATTCTCAGGCTGCACGCGCAGCCGGCCCCCCCGCCACCGCGCCGGCCCCCCTCTGCGCGATTCCCAGGCGGTCACTCCGGGATAGAGGTCAGGCCTCGAGTCGCCCTGGGCTCCTGCAGCCACCCCACCCCCAGCTAGCTAGGGATTGGCCTGACAGCCGGCGCGACCTACTCACTGTGGTTCTGGGGGGCCGGGGCCATGGCAGCCCCCGCTCCTGGGGCGCGGGGTCCCTCCATGTGGACCCTGCGGCGCGCGCTGGGTCTCTCGGGTTTGCCGGGGCAAAGCAGCCAGCCCCCGACAGCTCAGGGGCGGCCCCTTCCGGAGGCGGCCTCCCAGCTATTGCATGGTCCTTGGGATCCTCCTGGAGGCTTTCCCTGGAGCCCGCGCTGCGCCACGGAGAAATGCCTGCACCAGAAAGGGAGGGGTGGTGGGAGAGCGGGGAAAAGGGAGACCAGGGATGGGATGAGGCCGAAGGGAAGAGGAGGAAAATATGGAGAGCTGGCCAGGCGGAGGAAAGGGACTGGGATGAAGGAGAGTTGGTAGAAAGGAGAGGGATGAGAGGGAGACAGTGAGGGAGTTCCCTGGGCCTGGCTGTTTTACTGGGGTCAGTCTGGCAGATCTCTCATGGGCTCAAGACCAAGCTAGCCACCCCACCCCACACCCGGCTTGCCCCTGAGCTGGCTTCCAGACCAAGAGAACATAGTGGTCGTAGCCTCCCCAGAAGCCATGCTAGGCCTGGTGGAGAAGGACATCACGGTGGGACAAGCTAGGGCTACTGCCTTGAGTCAGAGTGCCCCTTCTGTCCATATACCCTCGCCTCTCCCAGAGGCTTTTACTTAGCCAAGGCAGTGGGTTCCCCTGGACTGGGCACCACGTTCCTGAGCAGAACAACCTGTGTGCTAATCTGTGTTCCATCCCACTAGAGCCCTGGAAACTATTCAGCCTCTTTTTGGTTTTCATTCACTTCATGTTCTCTAAAACTAGAAACTTGGTGTTGGGTGCCATACCCTATCAAGGATCCCCTCACTCCACAGCCAGACACCCAAACCTGGACTTGACCACTGACTCAGTTTCCTTTCCCCAGAAAAACCGAAGATGTATCAAGGTGTCCGAGTAAAGATCACAGTGAAGGAGCTGCTGCAACAGAGAAGGGCACACCAGGCAGCCTCGGGGGGAACCGTAAGCATGAATCCCTCACTAGTTCCCCAGCCCATGGTAGGCCTCCTGGGAATGTGAAGGCCACTCCCAGACCCAGACCCAGCCTTTCTCAGCTGTTACAGTAACTTCTGTGCCCAACTTCCTCTCATTTCACAAGATGCCATGGAGAACAAGGAAGGCATGGCATGGGGTTCAGGACTTGGGGTCAATTACTTACTGGTTAATGTTGAGTGTGAAAGGCTTATTGTTGTTCTATAGGGAGAGCCAGTCAGCAGGTAGGTAGATTGCTGTTGTGTTAGGAAGATAGTGTAGGTGCACTCCTCAGACTCATAGAAAATCTCTTTCAGAAATTCACCTCAGTTTGGGGAGCCCTTCCAGGTTAACATCTCTGTGGAACATCCTCCACTCTGTCCTCATCCTTCTGGAACTCAGCCTCTGAGATCATTTTGTCTGTAAGTCATCAGTCACTAAAGGAAAGTCTTCAGCAGAAAAACCTCATGTCTCTGGAGTACACATAGAACCACTTTCTTAAAATGTCATAGACCCTTATGTAGTTCCAGCTTAATACAAAATTTATCTGGGCAGTCATAAGCACCTTACACTTTATATACCTTCCTAAAGCAGGTAAGTATGCCAAGAGTGCTCACAGAGGGCAACAGCAACAGAGCTAAATAAACAAAGTGAGGTTATGCCCAAAGAGAGGACAGACAGCTCATTACTGAAAGTTCTCAAGAGTATAAGACAGCTAGGGCCTGGTCCAGGTTCATCCTGAACCAGAACCTATCCACGTTCTGATTTACCCTGTGGATATCAGCCCCACAACAGTTTTTATGCCTGGTGCTATTTGTATTCAGTGTAGGACTTCACAAAAATTCCCTTTGGCAATGAACGTCATGACAAGGGAGGAGGCACATAATGTAGGGCGGTAAGACGCCAGATAAACAGGGTTCAGATCTCAGCTTTTCCATTGTGTGTATCCTCCAGCAAGTTGCACAATTTCTCTTGCCTGTTTCTCCTCATCTTTAAATTGGAAATGACAGTAAGTAAGGATTAAATTAACTACTGCATATAAAGCACTTAAAAGAGCATTTTCCACACAATGAGTGCTCAATAAATGCTATTATTATTATTTGGGAAAGGCAACTGAAGTACAATCGCAACCAAAAATTGAAAGCCAGATATTCAGTAATGCACATTATACCCTTTGCTCGAAGTTTAGAGTTAAGGAGTGAATTAGCTGTGATTTGGTACATACAGATGGAGAAGTTAGTATCTCCATCTGTACAATTTGAGGTAACAGTAAAACTTCCTTACATTTGTAGAAAGCTTTACAGTGATTAGTTCTTATAATAACCTAGGGAGGTAAGTATAAAAAGTCTTCTCATTGTTGGCTCTCAAAATTCATCTTTCTTCAGATCTATGAACTCCTTCAATTTAGAGATGGTTACACGATGAATAAAATTAGATCTAGAGGGAACTGGAAAATGCTCTGGGACCAAAATAAAAATCAAGATGTTTATTACAAAACATGATCATTCATTAAAGAGCTTTGGTACTTGGTAGAATTCTGTTTCACCTGTAGCTGGAGAACTTCACTGCTCTTGGATCCTTGCAGATTGGTTTTACCACTGTTTCCCTGTTAGCAAGCTGCAGGACCTAATTAATGCATTTCATTTGTGTTTCTGACCAGTTTCTCTTCTTTGGACCAATGTCACCTCTTTTTCTGAACACCCTTCTCCCAACAAAGAGAAATAAAGCAGGACTCTTGCACCAGTGCTCTGCAGGAACATTGCTTTGCCTCCTGGAAGATTCTATCAGCTCATTCCCTCACAAGCATGTAGGAGTAATGCACATATAATTTCAGTAGGAGAGCCAGATGTAAAATCCATCACTGGGAGCCATGAGAAGGATTTAGGATTCTAGATTTGCTGCAAGAGTATACACATTGGCAAGGAAGGCAAATACCAGAGGATAATTTATGCCTGCTCTTTGGTGTAGACCTTTCTAGTTTAGTAGATTGTCTCCAATTCGATTGTTAGAGGACATCCCTGGGAAACTTTAAATCAAGGAGAGGATTCTTTGTATCAAATATTACAACGCAAGAAGAAATTTTATCTTCTTATAAAGCCAGGGTAGTATCCTCAGTTTGGAATTTTAAGAACGAAATCATGGACAGAAGTTATAGACTGAGACAAATATCCAAGTTTCAAGTTGTCCTAGAAGAAACTGTGCCTGCCAGACTGGTGAATTTAATTTTTAAAATACTCATTTCAGCCAGATCAGTTTACAAACACACTGATACACTCATGCACATGCATTTCCTCCACCTTCAGATGTAAAGAGAATCTTCAGTTAGTACTTATCAAAAGATATAATTTACTTTTCTTTTTTTTCACTATTAGTTTTTTAAACAGCCTTGATGTGTTTTTCTAAATTGCAGATTGTGGTTTCTTTATGCTGTTTGAAATCTGAGAGAGGTGTCTTTCTTTGTATTGGAGTGAAGTAGAAAGTGAACCCATGACTAGAAAGATAATATCAAGTAGGATATTATAAACATACCTCAGGAAGATAACAACAGGATAACAAGGACGCAGGCAAACAAGCCAGTCCGGGAAAGCATGGGGTTAAAGAGCTCTACATTGAAGTAGATTTTTTAAAACCCACTCCTTCCAAGTCCTTCCGCTCGAGCTGCAGCCAAATATTTGCATAAAGAGCTAGTAAAGGATTCCAGCTTCCTGGTTCATGACATTACAGCATGGATTATTTTCAAAATTAACACCACCTCCTGTTTCAGCAATGGTTGATTGTGCAGTTCTCCCAGTGGCTCAGTGTACAGAAGTGAGTATTCCCTGGAACCCAAGAGAGGCTTGGCTTTCCAGCCTGCGATCCCACAGCAACACTGGTCACTTTAAACTTTAAAGCCACCACATGAAATCTAAACAAAAAAATTAGTATAGTAACCACTCCACTGGAAATTATAGGCTGTTTTACTTTAGATAGTTAAAATGGGCAGTCTCATAAACTTGAACTACTGTAATGAAAAAAGCAAATTTATAAAAAATACCAAAAAAAGCACACAAAGAGTTGAAATATTTCCTAATGGTGGACTAGAATGTTGATAGGCTCTAACTCACTGACTACAGCTTTAAGAAAATGTTTTCTATTTTAATAGTTTATAGATAATAAGAACATGTGAAAATTTTTAGCTACTCTGGTTTAAAAAGTTAGGAATTGTATTCCTCAGGGCCAAGAATTCCTTAGACTAAGAATCCAGATTGTATAGGAAAGTTTTTAGGGAAATGATTAAGTCATAGTTGGATTAAATAAATGTTAGTCCTTATTTGTAAATTGAATAGTTTAATAGAAGGACTTTTTTTCTGAGTTTTCTTGAATTATTACATTTCTGTAACAGAAAAATTATTTACATTAATTTTTAAAAATCAAGATGAATAACTTAAAACTGAAGTAGGGAATCTGATATTAGAAAAAAAGTTCCCAAGCAAGCAAACACAAAAATTAAATCTAAATAAAATATAATGTTGGTTATATTTTTTTAATGGCACCTATTTTTTAGAAGAAGGAATCTGGCTTACCTTGTAGCAGAAAGAAATAGTTCCCATCAAAATACCTTAGCTTTTCCTCTGTAGAGCTTCTGTGCTTCTTTTTGCTTCACTGACATGTTCTTGTTTTGGCAGCTGTCTGAAGGCAGCAGTATCCACCTTGAAGACCCAGCTGCACCATCTTCTGCAGGTCAGTACAGCCAGCATTGCAATTTCTTCAAACTCTCTTTCAAAAGTCCATCTCAAAAGCTTTTCAGTGCTTGATTCAGGGGTTAAGATAGGCACCACCATTTAATTGGAATTCAACCAATCAGAAAGTGAAAAAGGCATAGTAACTCCAGATGCAAGCCCAGCACGGAAACAAGTGCAATTTTTGGTCCTCCTTTCTGAACTGTCTATTCTCTGCTGTCTAGACTGTCCCAAGATTTTGTTTACATTTTTTCCAGTTCCTCACCTCCAAGAAGCTAAACTTGACTATAAAATCAGAACTTTTTCAAGAACCTCTTTATCTTTTAGCACACTATTCATTGGAATACTGAACATCCTGAACACTAGAATAATGCCTTTGCTCTTGTTCATTTAGCTTCCAGCCGACAGGGGCTTCCCTCCCCCCTTCTTGTCTCTCTTCCCAGAGAGCAGTTCAAACAAGTGCAAGTTTTCCCAGCTCAATACGAATAACTCTATTACATAAACATTCCTTCCTATGCCACTCAGCAGCTAAGAGGTCATAAATAAGGAAGCCTGAGTTTGTGGATGGTTTCCACTGAATGTATCACTTTAACTTAGCCTTAAAGGAACTTGAAACTTCAAAAAATCCAAAAGTCCTGTAGCCCCTTTGATGGGCACACTCTAAAGCTCTCTTCTTTGAGCATTTAAAAATAATCATACATTGAGTCTATTAATACTAAAATGGAAAAGGAGTGATGTTTTCCAAATTATTGTTTAGTGTTCAACAATTTTTATTGCATTATCATGCTAGCATGTCTACTATGAAAAATTTCATTTTTTTGTAATTTTAAACAAATAATACTAATTTGTACTCTACATTCCTGGTTTCCATTTTTATCATTTCCATCCCCATTTACATGTATATCACTTTTCAAAATCCACTCCTCAAAATTAAAGTTACTAAGTGTGAAAAGGTTAGGAAAGCAATAACCCTGAATCAAGAGAGTTCTTTGCGATGGCATCAGAAGTTTTCTCATAGCTTCAAATAGATCTGTCAATTACTGTTGAGTGGTTTACTTAAACTTCAGATAGGGACTGGATGTTAATGCATTTATAGCACACTTGAGCTGTCAATCATGATACTTGGACATGGGTTGAGCTACCATACTTCATTTTTGCTCAAGCCATATTGATATCTAATTATCACATTATTAATCACATTCTTTTCTCTGGCACTGGAATTAACTAAAACAATTAAAAGTCCAAATTGCCTGTCTGTTTACTTTTCTGGAACTTCCTAAGCACCTTTCCCTCCTAAATACTCAGAATACAGAAGCAAACTCCACTAAATCATTTTGCAATTTTTAAATCTTTTCCCTTTCTCCTCTAGGACTCTATTTTGAGCCTGAACCAATATCTTCCACACCCAATTATTTTCAACCTCAAGAATTTTCCACTTGGATTTCTTGTGAAGAAAACCCCAACTGCCTGGACCAGATCTTCGATTCCTACCTTCAGACTGAAACACTCTCAGAGCCTTTGCTCAACTCCACACAAAGTGCTCCTCACTATCTGCCAGACAGCTTCCAGGCCACCCCTTTCTGCTTTAACCAGAGCCGCCTGGTAATTTATCTTCATTTTTTATGTAACCTGATTGTTCCTAATTATGGAGTAGTAATGCTTTATAAGAAAGTTGGGTCATCTCCTGAGGAACCATACAAATACTATCAAGGAAGCAAGCAGGGAACCATTTATAATGCACTGTGCAGAGATAGCTCCTTGTTGCAGGGCATAAACCTTTAAATACACACTTAATTATGATGGGTGGCAATAAAAAGATTTCCTGGCAATACTCAGTGTTTTTTAAACTATGGAGTTAAGTCATCTCCTAATTTGGAAATGACTGGTTTACCCAATGTCTCTTGGATCTTTGAGTTCTTAAAAATGGAACTAAGGTTGCATCTACACACTGCCAAACTTCATTTTGATAGAATTGAGTTCTGTTGAGCTTGATAGGGGAAGTGGCTCTACTAACTGGTTGTTTTTGTGTCCTATAGGCACAAAAACTCATTTGAGTCAGAGATGGCTAGTAAAAATGAACCCCTAACCTTTGCAAGAATTTGAATTGCCTGTTCTTTATGGGTCTCAAGTGCTCAAAAATGTGTTATTCTTTAAAATGAAGCAAGGTTTCCATAAGATCTACTTATCTACGTATCTAGTTATTTTAGATATCATTTTGAGACTTATAATGTTTTAAACCTTCAAGTGTAGAGTTACAAAATAAAATGTGAATACTTTAAGAAATGTGAATACTTTTTTAGTGTATCAAACATCTGTACAGACATCAGGCTAAATTTTAAAGGGAATAGGAAATTAACTCTGCAGAATATGCGTATTGTTGCTGGGCCTCCATCACCCAGTTCCCTTCCAGCCTCCACATTAGGCTTTTGTCAGCAACAGCTGTAGACTTGCTTAAGAGAAGACAGTACCTTTCTCCTCAGAAGACAAGACTTTAGTGGCAGGAAGGGTAGTTACTCATCTTGGGTATCTCAGAGGTAGGTTCCTTGAGGATCCAAGTTCTGCCTTTGCATGCTCACCTAGTTCTTCACGGTCAAGGGTGTGGAGAAATATCCAGGGTGCCACCTGCAGCTTATATTGTGGCACACAGCAGGATTTAATGTCCAGGTGACCTGAAGTACAATAGGATTTTGTGGTTTAAGAACAAAACATCCTCCAAAGTATGGTTATAACAAAGGAAGCTAGTGAAGCAAGGCAATTGATTGTTGGGAAAGAAATAGGCAAATATAGAGAATGGGGTCATGAAATCATGTAGTCAACAAATAAAACTACTTCTCCAGACTTGGGTTGGGTATTTTGTTTTTTCACCCCTACTTTTCTTACTCTGTGTTAATAAATCCACACTATTCAGTTCTTTTGATCCTAAGTTATCAAGCTCTTTGTTTGTTGGTTTTCTTTTCTATAGACCCTGGGATCACCTTCAGATTCCTCCACTCTCTCTGGCTCCTTAGACTACAGTTACTCGCCAGCTCAGCCGCCTTCATATGCTTCAGAGAATTATAGTTCTCCCCCTTCTCTGGACACCCTAAACCATGGCTATCCCCAAGAAGACTACTCTTACTACCACTTGCCCTCGCATGCCCAGTACAACTGCTTCTCCACCGCCACCACCTCAGTCTGCTACTGTGCATCCTATGAGGCAAAGCACTTGGAGGCCCTCAAAACAGCAGAGTACTTCTATCCAAGCACAGACTGTGTGGACTTCACCCCCTTAGGAGCTGGCACCAGTGATTTCTGTAAAAGGGAAACAAACTGTGACATATGCTATAGTTAATAGAAATTCCATGATTTGGAACATGGCATGGGTATATCTATTTTTCTACCACATCTAGATGACACTTTGAAACATGCAACCTGTTAACAAAATGTCAAAAATATGGTTTATATGTCGCAGTTTTCCATTTTCTAATGCTAATGTCAGCATTAATATCAAGTCCTCAAACCTGGTCATAGTGCCTACTTCGTATGCTGAGAGTTACAATTTTCATAGGTGACTTTCCATTTACTTTTCTGTGTAACCAACAAATTCTGTCTCTTTTTTAAACTAATAAACAATTTTGTATTGTTATGTTTGGGTTATTTTTTTAAATTTCCAATTGTAGTTTCTGTTTGATTTGAATGTTATCAATTAGACCAGGAAATCATCAACTACACTAGAGTGGTTTCATCTTACTTATTCATGAACATAAAATTATTTTAATGTGGCGGGATACCTTGGCTGCCATAGAATGCAATAGACATGGCTGCAGTGGTAGAAAAGCAACATCTGCCTCTCCACTAAATGAAGATGTACATCTTGGAAAAGCATCAGAAAAAGACAAGGATGAAGCCAGGCCTGGTGACACATGCCTGTAATCTCACCACTCAGGGAGGCTGAGACAGGAGAATTGCAAATTTGAACCCAGCCTGGCCAATTTAGCAAGATCCTGCCTCAGAATAAAAAAGTTTTAAAAAAAGAAATGGGGAGGTAGCTCAGTATTAAGGCCCTGGCTTTAACCCCTAATACTTCAATACCACAAAAAGAAAGACAAGGGCAGAGAAGGAAAGAAAAGAATAAAAGGAAGGAAGGAAAAAGAAGAAAAAAGGAAAGAAAGAGAGAGACATTGATGAAACTTTAGTTTTTCAATCTGATATTGGCCAAAGAAATGTTAATATGACCAAAAACCATAACTTAATTGTGGCAATATTAACCTGTAAATTGTTTCCAAAGCACTGCTATGTAAACGTTTTTGGCAAATACTTGATCTTTTTTCCCTTAGGGGCAGCCATATAGTTTCAAAATTTGGTTGCCTTATATTTCTGAATTTCTGTTGTAGGTCCTTAAATATGCATCACTTGTATTTACATATTGAGTTTTAGTACTATGTTGTTTATGACTGACTTTCAGAGTTTACTTCCTCTAACTAATCTATGAAGAAGTCCACTGTCTTTCAAAGAAATGGAGTGACTTAAGCTACCTATGCTAGTCTATGCTATTAAATCTTGTTTGCTGAGGGCAATTACAACAAAGGACTTAATCACTGCAGTGAAATCTACAGGGCATTTTCCATAACTCAAGCTTCAGCACCATGGCAGCCATACTGGTACCACTAGCACTGGCCACAACCATTTTCTGAGCCCTTCTGGTATACCAAAATTGTCTGCAGATTTTCTTTCTCACACATTTTAATCTTTGTTACAAAACTGATAGCAAATTGAGGAGTTGGAGAGTCAGAGAATTTAAGTCACCTGCTCAGAGTTGCCCAGCTAGTCAATACCCAAGCTTGGACATGAAAGAATTAAAAAAATCCTGCTCCTTACTCTCCCATAATGTAAAGTTTGAGCCACCATTTGTGAAACACTGTTGAGGAACATATGGGATCATTAAACCCCAACTTCTTCCTACACACAAAGGTCTATTCCTATGAGGAGAGCTAAGTCAGGCATCTCCAAAAGGGCCAGACCAAGGACAGGACACCAAGATCCCAAGCACAAGAGCTGCCAGCATCCTACAGTATAAGGGGAGCACTAACCATCACCTCCATGGGCTTCTTCCTATCAGGAGACAGATACTCTTTCAAAATGCCGTTAATTTTCCTCTCCTTAAGGACCTAACTAAGGCTTGGGCAAACACAACAAGCTACAGCCTGCCTCACAAAATAGTTGTGCCAGGAAAATAGAACAATTGCTGCCTTTCTGAGATGCCAATAAAACCAAATTTTTAATGAGTTGAAACTGGCCAGTTGTCAACAAATATCTATTCACACAGACCAAAACCCCTTCAAATTCTCCACTCAACCCCAGCAGTTGTCCCCAAAGGCTAAAAGCAAAGAAATCAAAGCTGCCCAGTGGTTGGCACCAATGTAGCCCCAAAGGTGCCAGTCTTTTTAAAATATATATATATTCCCCCTTCAATCTTATACCTTCTAAATCCATTATCTTGCAGCTCTAACAGCATTTTCTGACCCCTATATTCTTTTCTTTCTTTCTCTCCCCCTCAGTTTTTGCTAAATCTAGTGTGGAAAAGGATTCAGAGAAATATGAGACTAAGGCAAATATAGCTAATGTGCATGGCAATGTATAGCTCCACCTTAACATAGTCTTTAAGAAATTCGCAGATACTGTAGGCTGTAGGCCACTGGGTGCAGTACCAAGGGGATGGCCTCTGCCCACCCCATGTCTTGCCTTCTGCAGCACACACAGAACAGCTCAGGAACCCTATAGCAGCAGACAAAGCACCCACAAATGGCACTCGAACAACCTAGACTGTCTCTCATCATACATACCAGGCAGCTGGATAAAATATAAATGCTTATGCCTCAGTGTGACAAAGCACAGCTCAGCAAGTCTGGGGTGAGACCCAGACATGTGCATGTTTTAAAGATGCCTAAGGTGATTCTGATATACATGGTCCTTTGTGGACACTTGTAAATCACTGACATTCAGTGAATTTTTCACACAAAGGATCTATTAGCACAACACTAACAGTTTAGGTGAACTAAGTTCTTTCTATGGGCCAGTGCTGTGGACATTATCTTATGTAATCCTCAACCAGATAAGATATATATTATTATTGTTCTTATCTTTATAGATGATAAGAATAAAGAATAAAGCTTGGAGAGATGAAATAACTTGCCCACAGTCACACCACCTATAAATCAGGGTAAGAGCTCTCTGACTCAAGTCATGTGATGTTATGATGTGAACTTTCAGTAGCCTCAGTACACTTTCCTTGCCTTATACCTGGAAGGATAATCTTTTTGGAATTCATCTTTAGCCTTAAAATTCACATGTATATTTGTAGGCAGTTATTCATGTACTAGAGAAGCATTCAATAAAATTATAACTGCAAGTTTAAATGAATGGATAAATTTGTTATTCTGAATCATCAGAAAAATTAAACAAAATGTTATTAAGTGCTTACTACATGAAAGGCTGATCACATGCCTTCAAAATGCAAAGTTAGAAGTTAAAAGAGGGGTTGATTTTAAAAACTCAAATTTTTAGTTTAGTAGGAATTTCAGTAGGAATGGGCATGGACTGATTTTCAAATTCTTGGGAAACTTAAATTAGAGGTCAACTCCTGAAGCATAAGCAAGATAAGATGAAACAAAGCTAAAGGTAGTACAGATTTGGAAACTATTATCTCAAGTAATGGCCCAAAGCACAACATCTTAGCAGCTGGCCTAAGCCTGCAGGTGAACATTTGGGAGCGGATGTGTAAATAGATAAGGATAACTAAAATGTGGAGTAGGGGAGGAGAAACTACCTGTTGATAGATTGCATTCTAAAAATACTCTAGAAAGATGATGGCTAAAAACAGATCAAAGCCAATTAACTTGTAAATTAACTACATCAAAATAAGCATGGATTCACCATTGTTTCAAAATCCTCAAAGTCTATGTAGCTAACCTCAGTACAACCCACTGGTGAGGCTGCTCAGGAAAGTAATTCCCATACTACCTCCCTTCCTTTTACAGATAATGGTATGGAGATTCCTTGCCCAGGAGCAGGACCTGATCAGTGGGGTATCCCAAACACTTGGGGCTGGATTTTAGTGTGGCCAAAGGATGTCCATTTAGGGCCTAGTAGCTTTGTACTTTACAGACTGATTGACCTCAGTCCTTATGCTCTAATAGAACTTTGAGGAAGACTAGGGGCTAGAAGATGAACAAGTTTGAGATGAGTATCATACTTTGCATGATACTGAAACACCACACTCATTGAGGGAAGAAATCTCTTGTCTATTAGGTCTTACTTTAGCAAGCAGTTTCTCTTGCTTAATATGGACAAAAAATATATTACTGGTGAGAAGTGAAAGAGAGAGAGAGTGTGTGTGTGTGTGTGTGTGCATGCATGCACGTGTGTGTGTCTGTGTGTTTTGTGTATGTTCTTCATTAGTTGCGATCTGAAGCATCAGGAGGAAGAAGCACATATCTTCTTAACCTGTCAGGATGGGACCTGGAGTAGCACAGCTCACCTGGGACTGTCCTAGTAAAGCTACCACTTTCCTCTCCCATTGTGGAAACTCTTGGTTGACTAAGTGGGATTTTGAGGAAAGCTTTGATTTGTTTACTGGAGTCCTGGGATTTCCCTAAAGAGGAGAAGAAGGTATGAATCCTAAGGAAGGATCAGTCTGAGGACATCATTTTCCCTGCAGGGATGGGGTAGAAAATTTCACTATGTTTGTGTAAAAGAGGAGTTCTTTGCAAGGAAGATTCATCAGAGGGCAGGGAGTTTTACTAGGAATTGAGGTAGGCTCCCCATGAGAAGTTGAATTTGAGGATGGTTTTCTGTTGGTTTGTGAATCCGATCCTATTTGGCATTATGTTTGAACTTTTCCCCTCTCACATTTTAATGCTTATTGGTTAATTCCAACTGTTCAATAAGGTCTGGTACACCATAGAACTGTAGGTAAAACTAGAATAAAGAGACTCCAAAGGGGAGCATGGTCTCCCTGATTTGTCCTCTCTGCTGACCCCTGTATGGAACTGCTACCATCTTGTTGCAGGGACTTGGGTCTAGGACTCACAGGAAGTTATCCACAGCCAGTGAACAATGCCATGGTGAAAGCCACTGTCATAGAGAAAGGCATCAGTTGAGAAACAAAAGCTCCAAGATACAGTTAAAAGACCAGGACAAGCCAGGTCTGGTGGTACACACCTGTAACCCCAACACTCGGGAGGCTGAGGCAGGAGGACGGCCATGAATTCGAGGCCAACCTAGGCTACATAATGAGTTCAAGGCCAGCCTGGACTACATAGCAAGAGCCTGTTTCAAAAGACAAAAAACAACAAGAACAAAAAACAAACTAACAAAAACAAGTACAGGTGAAAGTAAAGAAGCTGGAGCTTGTGTCACTCAAAGAGACTGGAGATTGAACCCAAGACCTTGTGCATCCTAGACAAGTGCTCTACCATGGAGCTACACCCTCAACACTAAGAAAGAGTAACTTTAGGACAAATGCAAGCAAGTTTGTACACAGCAAGTAATAAACATTTTAAAATGTCTTACTCCTACATGTTCAACACGTAAATAGTTTCAAGAAGGATTTAGATAAATTGGGTTGATAATATCATAGGGCTGGAA